GCCGCCAGTTATCATCAAAACGTTGGCTCGACTCTTCACGCGCTACCTGTCGGAATGCAAGGTACCTCCGTGGAAAACCAGCAGGACCGTGTTGCTGTACAAGAAGGGAGACTTGGACGACATTGGCAACTATCGCCCAATCTGCCTGCTGTCTGTAATCTACAAGCTATTCACTCGAGTCATCCTTAACAGGATCGGCAGAATACTAGATGAAGGACAGCCATGCGAGCAAGCAGGGTTCCGAAGAGGGTTCAGCACGATCGACCATATCCACACGGTTACAAGACTCATTGAAGTTTCACGAGAGTACAAGATGCCGCTTTGTCTCACGTTCATCGACTTGAAGAAGGCCTTCGACTCTGTGGAGACAGAAGCGGTCATCGAAGCCTTGGGCAACCAGGGCGTCCCTACTCAGTACATCAAGATTCTTCGTGAGCTCTACAGCAACTTTACGACCAGAATCACCATTCTACAAGGAGGTCATCATCGACGTCAAGAGAGGGGTTCGACAGGGCGACACCATCTCGCCCAAACTCTTCAGCGCCGCTCTCGAGAACGTCATGCGTCAACTGGAATGGGAAGACATGGGAGTGAAGGTCGACGGCCGGCAACTACACCACCTTCGTTTTGCTGACGACATCGTTCTTATAACGCCGAACATCGAGCAAGCGGAGCGAATGCTGGCTGATTTCGACTGCGCCTGTGGTAAGGTTGGTCTACAGCTGAACCTAACGAAGACGATGTTTATGAGAAACGGATTGGTTCCTGATGCCCCATTCACGCTCAACGGAACGAACATCACCGAATGCTCCAGCTACGTGTACCTAGGTCGGGAAATCAATATGATGAACGATCTAGCTCCAGAGCTGAGCAGGAGGAAACGAGCGGCTTGGGGAGCGTATAAGAACATCGAGGGAGTAGTGAAGAAGACGAAGAACATCCGGCTCCGTGCCCACCTCTTCGATTCCGCTGTCCTTCCTGCCCTAACCTACGCCTCAGAGACTTGGACTCTGCGCAGGCAGGACGAGCATGCGGTCAGCGTTATCCAACGCGCTGTCGAGAGGACGATGCTAGGAGTAACCCTATACACGCAAGTGCAGAGGGGAATCCGGAGTGCCGAACTACGCCAACGATCGAAGATCAGGGACGCTGCCGTTTTCGCCAAGGAATCGAAGATAAGGTGGGCCGGACACGTCATGCGATTTTGCGATGACCGTTGGACCAGAGCGGTTACCGACTGGATCCCTCGGGACGTCAAACGAACACCTGGACGACCGCCGGCCCGATGGTCAGACTTCTTCACGAAAGCTCTGAACGAAAGGAATGAAGGACACGTGTCCCTCGAGCGAGGAGGGTCCACTGGACAACTCTTGCACGCGACAGGGACGAATGGAGACGTTGCTGGCGCCCGCTCGAGCAATTCGATGATCAACGGACGACAGGTGATACAGGTGATACTGGTGGTGATGGGATGGACACTTTCGAGATATGGTCTCGACATT